TAAATAATGTCCTTACCTCTCTAGGATTAATGCATCTTATTATCTGACGTGGATCCCCTTGTCTTCTTATATTAATCAGATTTTTAAAGTATTTGAAAATAGAAGTATTCTAAAAGTTCAAACATAAAATTTTATGGTCAAAACTGGGCAAAAGGAGTAAAAACTATAAAATAGGTTTTATATATGTAAACTAGATTTTAGATATATGATCCACTCCGGGTTTCCTTTGACAAGCCATGCAATGTTGGTATTATTCTCATAACAAGTTTTAGCCTTAAGTTTGTAATTGCATTACTAACAGCTATAAGTAAAATATCTAGAACTTTGGTTGGGTCACTTCTGTATACTCCAGAGTAATCTAGGAGAAAGACAAAATACAAGCTAGTATTAAGAACATTGACTGTGTCATACTGTTGTCTAGGTTCAACTGTTAGTATTTGTAATCACTTAGAACAACCTTTGGCACAAAAAAAAAGCACTCAATAAATATTATCTATTATTATCATTACAGAATCCTCTTCATTCCTGTTAAGTAATTCCACTGATTTACAAACCCTGTCTGTTTTTTATGTTGGCACAAATTTAGTCAAACAATTCCTAAAAAGTCTTCAATTTTTGAAAACTGTTTCTTTGGTAACATACTCCTCATATCCCATCCCCTCAAAAACCCCTAATAACTCTTGGTAAACTGCCCCACTCTTAGTCTGCTTATGTTAAGTCAAATCAAACAAATTCAAACTGAAGCAAATCCATAGCACCAATATGACAATTTGAAGCCCCACTTCAACTGCCTGTGAAAGTGCAGTCACTATCAACATAGATAATACTATTTCTGCAAGGAAGATATAATTTCCTTGAAGTAAAACCCAAAATTGAGTATCAAAAAAATTATGATGGTTTAAAATATGGATAGTATCTTCTAAATATGTAAATCACTGTATCAAATCACCCCAAACTTAAAGCAAGAACTATTTTCTGTGGGTTGACAAGGAACTTCCGCTGATTTTACATATGTGCCTATAGTCAGCTGCCAGATCACATGGAGCTGAGTGATTAATATTACCTCACATAAATATCTGGGTCTTTTGCTTAGAATATTAAAATATCTGTGTTGGCTGGGACTCTATCTCCACATATACTTTCAGTTTGAGTTTTTTCACTGCATGGAGTTACAAAGTACCAAAGAGAGAAAAAGTAGAAGTTGCAAGGCTTCTTAAGGCCTTGTCTTGTAAGTCATACAGCAACAGTTGTTCTGCCATTTTATTAGTTAAAGTCAAGACCTAGCAGACTTCAAGAGGTAAAGTTCAAAGTATGACCTATAGAAAATTCCATATAGACACTGGCCTCACTCAAGGTGACCCTGAAGGACAGGCATGAAGATAAATAGGACAGAATCTCAAGCAGCATACATGGTTGTAGATTGTGCCTAGAAGGAAAGATGATCAGAGGTACAGATGGGGCAGTGACTGATGGTTTTACTGGATGGTCAGGAATTTGGAAAGAACATGGTTAGAAAATTGGTGACAAGAAGGTCTGGAGAAAAGGTCAAACCACCCACCCCCAAATGCATACCAAGTGTGGATATATTTATGTCCATATGGATGCTCAACCGAAAGAAATCTAGCAAAGACTCTTAACAATCATATAGGCAAAGTGACTGGTTCTTTGGAGTCAGCCAGCCATTTCTCCAGCCACTGCTCTCCTTGCTCATGAACAAAGTGGCCGTGCAGCAAAGTTGGAGGTCATTCATTGGCTCAGCTTCTGTCCACTGCTGAGTGGCCACTTTGCCAAAACAGAGATCAACACTGAGCCCTTGATATGGCATTGTTCCTTGGGTTAATTAGCCAGCTCTCTGTGGCACACTGATTAAGTGAAGCATTTCCATTATAGAAGGGGAACAACATTATACTCACTGGAAGTGACACTTTACCCTCTATGTACACACCATCTGTATACTTTCAATATGTTTCATTCACTGTCATAATATTGCACATTACATTACTTATGAGCAGAGAAATTGCTTCACAGCAAATGTAGTACATCAATGGGCCCATGCACGTGAATTTCACTGATATGAACTTGTTCCCCATCACACTAAACTAGCGATTTTCAACGAGTATGCACAAGCATTTTTGGGTCACAAGCATTTTTATCCCTTCACTCTCATTCTCTGTGTGTCCTTTATTTTGAAGAGGGTCTCTTGTATTATAGACAACATATATTTGGGTCCATGGTTTTTGTGGTTTTGTATCCATGATTTTTGGATACATGTTTTGTAGCTACTCTACACCTTTTGATTGGAACGTTAAACCCATTTACATTTAGGGTTATTATTGATAGATATTTATTTATTGCCATTTTAATTCTGTATGGCTAAGTTTCTCTGTTTCTCTTTAGCATTTCTTGTAATCCTGGCTTGGTGGTGATATACTACTTTAGCCTTTTTTTTGTCTCTTTGTTTGTACATCTGTTTTGAATGATAGCTTTGCTGGATATAGTAATCTTGGTCTTAGATCTTTGCTTTCCATTATCTTGAGTGATTCATGCCATTCCCTTCTGGCCCATAGAGTTTCTGATGAGAAATCAGGTGTCAGCCTTATGGTAACAGTTTTCTTTTCTCTTGCTGTCTTTAAGATTCTCTCATTGTCTTTAATTTTTGGCATTTTAATTATGATGTGTCTGGGTGTAGGCCTGTTTGGGTTCTCCTTGCTTGGAGTTCTCTGTGCCTCCAGAACTTGTGTGACTTTTTCCTTTACCAGGTTTGGAAGTTTTTTGCCATTATTTCTTCAAACACATTCTCTATTCCTTTCTTCCTTTCTGCCTCTTCAGGCACACCAGCTATTCTAATATTATTACATTTGACGTTGTTCCACAGCCCCCTTAAGCTGTCCTCTTGTTTTTTAATTTTTTTTTCTGTTTGGTTTTCTAATTGAGTGATATTTTCAACTCTGTCTTCTAATTCACTGATTCCATCCTCAGCTTCCCTAACCCACTGTGTATTCCTTCCAATGTGTTCTTTGTTTTATCGATATATCATTCTTTATCTCAGACTGTTCTGTTTTTCATAGACACTATATCTTTTTTCATGCCGTTGAGCACCTTTACCATCATTACTCTGTATTTGTTTCAGATAAATTTCTTTTTAAAAAATACATTTTATTGATTTTGCACAAAGAGGAAGGGAGAGAGATAGTTAGAAATATCAATGAGAGAGAAACATTGATCAACTCCCTTCTGCACACCTCCTACTGGGGATATGGCTGCAAACAAGGTACATGCCCTTGACTGGAATTGAACCTGGGACCTTTCAGTCCACAGTTTGGTGCTCTATCAACTGAGCCAAACCACTGCCATCTTTGTGAGGTCAATTAGCATATTCCATCTTTATTAGATAGGATAAACCATATAATATGCTAAAACTATGAATCCTTATTTACAAGTCACCCTCTGTGCTACCCGAGTAGAATGTATTTAGAATCAGGATCAAATGTACTCTCCTTTTAATCTTAAAACTATTTTCATTTGCATAATACTTGAACCATGACTTTCATGGTTGACCCTTTTTCAGAGTTCCTAACTACTTTTAAAAATATATATATTTTATTGATTTCAGAGAGAAGAGAGAGATGGAAACATCAATGATGAGAGAGAATCAATGATTAGCTGCGTACTGCATGCCCCATACTGGGGATCAAGCCCACAATCCAGGTATATGCCCTGACTGGGAATCGAACACTGACCTCCTGGTTCATAGGTTGACATTCAACCACTGAGTCAATCGGTACAGATTTTCAGTCAGTCCCCTTGTTTACAGTCATTCTCTTCCAGGCTTTATAAGTTGCTGAGTCCTAACTGATATCCTTTTGAGGGTTGCAATGGCAAACTAGCTTTCTCACTCGGGCTTCTTTAAAGTATAACTAGGCAAGTCTTCTATACAGATTTGTCCAACAGGATGCTACCATCTTTTTTGGTTTTCCATAAATGAAATTAAATTTATTTGCTCACGAACTCCCTTCTCTGTGCTATGGGTTAAGTTTCTACATATTGTTATTTCAATGGGGTTTTGGAGGAATAGAAAGTGAAAATGTATGCTCAGTCTACCACACATATACAACTTGTTTGTTTATATGCATGTCTTCTCTACTGAAACTCCTTAAGGGCAAGGATGTATTGTAAAATGCTAGCACAGTGCCAGGAATATAGTCGGCTTTAATGGCATGTGCTCTTTGGATTTGGATGTAAGATAAAAGAACTTAAAACTTAAGCCTAGATAAGTATGCTGAGGGAAATCACCAAAGGAATAGATTTTTGAGGGGAAAAAAAGTATTTTAATGTTGAAAATTAATAGTTACCCTTAGAATAGGTTTTATGGCTTTGATAGAGGCAATAGAGGAAGAAATGGAAACTACTTTGCAAGACATGATTAACTGATACAAAGCTGTTCTTCTGTGCTAGAAACAGAGCCAAACGACTTCACACAAAATTATCGAGCAGGCAGAGTGCTGCTGCTATCAGAAAGAGAAGAGTGAAGTCATTTTAGCTCTTGTCTCTCACCTAACCAGGTAAATCAACTTGGAATATTCCTTTCTGGATAAGAAGACCAGCTCAACCCATATTAAAGAATGATAAGGAACTAATATATTAACCCAGATATGGTATATTATTGAACTTTAAGTCCTCAAGAGTAGGTATTCAATTTAATATTTAATGAGTGAATGTACCCCTAACACCTGTTCACAAACCTGATTCCAGGGTCAATAAATAAGTTTTTAGGGATGAAAGCCAAATGAGCCAATTAGTGATACTTTCATTGATAGCAGCTATTATCAAAGTGCCTGACCCAGATTAGCAACTCCATATTTGTGCGGCTCATAAGATAATTAATATTAACTTTTTGAAACTTTAATAACAATCTGCCTTAAAAGCAACTCTAAATATACTAAAAACTACTGAAATGTAAATTATTTAGCAATAAAGTTGCAAACAAACAAAAAACTCACAATAAACCTTTTCCAGGCCTTCTGAATGACTCTGGCAGCTTTATCACTCTTTGCAAAGTCCTCTTCTTGTATAAAATACATTTAAAGTCCTAAAAAAAAAAAAAAGCAAAATGGGTATATTTAAAATTATACATTCATTATGAAACTGTCACTAGAATTCAGTGAAAATTAAATAAAAGTTGTATGAATGAATGAATAGTGCCATATATTAAGTTTACAGTAGTAATATGGTTCTAAGATGCTTTATCATAGTCCAAACTGAGTAAATTTTGCTATTTTAAGATATACTCTTTCTATCTAGCAGGTGGAGAAGGAACAAAGTGTAGTTTATCTGTGTACTTCAGGATACTTCAGAGGAAAATATGTAAATTGTATTCCCTACTTAACATCTCATTACTTTTTAAATTCAAAATTATTCATATTACTGCTGAGATTTACTTAAAATTATTATATGATATATCTCAGATAGCAAACCTAACTTCTGTATTTACCTCATTTAATAAAAGAAACAGTGACAGTGTCCTTAAAAATTATTAAAACCGATTACACTATTCACAAAGAAGAATATTACATAAATACATTCTTAGAGAAAAAATTTCGAACAATATAAAACTGTAAAGTAAAAAATCCTCCATTTCTTCTAGCCCAGTCCTTTCTTGAAAGATTATCTTCTCTATTAATAGATGTGTGATTCTTCCAGCTCTTTTCATATATATAAATTTAAACAATGTGTATGTATATATGCACATGGTTATACAGTCTATTATACATGTATATACATGGATCATACAGGATTATTTGTTTGCATTAATGTGATAAAACTATACATATTTTCTGCTTTCTTTACCTAACAATATATGTTGGAGACTTTTCCAAATTAATACATATAGATCCTACTCATTCTTTTTTATAATTGCACAGCATTCCTAAGTATGGATATGCCATAATTTAATTATTCTTTATTAATGGGCATTCAGACTGTTTCGATATTTGCTGTTACAATTACAAAGTGAATAAACTTATATGTTTATTTGTATACCTGTACAATTATTTTTGTTAGATTTTTAGAAGTGAAATATATATTTTGCATTACTTTTTCTGGAATGGATACCAGGAACAGCTAACAGTGATTTCTCTGGGGAGGGACCCAGGGACTAAGGGGATTTGGGTTTAGAAATGAATACAAAATTTTATTCCAATACTAGAGGCCTGGTGCACAAAAATTTGTACACTTGATGGGGGAGTGGGGATCTCTCATCCAGGCCTGTGCCCTCTCACAATTCAGGGCTCTCAAGGCATGTTCACCTGCCAACTGGCAGTCAGACATCCCTCTGGCAGCCCAGGAGCCCTTGGGGGATGTCTGACTGACTGCTTGGGTCCACTCCCCTAAGCCACAGTCAGACATCTTTAGTTCTGCTGTGGAGGCAGGAGAGGTTCCTGTCACCACTGCTGCACTTGCAGCCATCAGCCTGGCTTGTGGCTGAGCAGAGCTCCCGCTGTGGCAGCTCACTGACTGGTGATTAGTGCATGTCAGAGCAACCAGTCATTCCCAGTTGTTCCGCCATTAGGGTCAATTTGCATATTACCCTTTTATTATATAGGCTCTTTTATATTGTGTAATTTTGTTTTCACAATGTGCATGCAGTTCTGATATACATATATATATATATATATATATATATGTATATGTATATATATATATATATTGATATAACTTCATAAAAGAGTATGCAAATTAAAATTTTGACACAAACTGTCTTAAAAATGTTGATTAATTTGTACTTATAAACATCCTATGATAGTGCTTAATTTATAGATTTTTATAAAAGTGAAAAACTAAATGTAAATGTAAATGAAACATTAGGACTATTGTGAAACTTTTAATATTCTTTACAATATTTAAATTGTGAGTTTTATTCCTGTTATTATGCTTAGAGATTTCAATGTACATGTGTGTAAAATACCACAAGCCAGCATTAGTGGTAGTTCATGCAGATTGCATAATTTTTCCAAATACATCCTGAATGTTAAATTAAGAACTGAATTTTAAACATCCCATTTAATTCTGCAAACATGTCTGAATCAGTTTTATTGGGCACTTTGACTTAAATAATTTCACACACCTGCTTCCCACTTCTCATGTGATGAAGGCTAAAGGTGGTCAGATGCTGACAAATCAGTATCCTTTTTATGTGTATTTATTGAAAATGTTTTACTATCTACAATATCTCGTCCCCCTACAATGTAAGTTCCCTTATCCCCCTACAATGTAAGTTCCCTTAAGGCAGACTCTTTTCTTGCTTATTGCTATCCCCTCTATTTCTAGCAAAGAACAGGTGATCAATAAATAATAGTTGCTTGCTGACTGATTAGAAGATATTAAATAAATGAAGCATTCATACAATAAAATCCTGTGAGAATACTAAAAGTGATGTTATAAACATACACATTGACATAGAAAATGTTCCATATCATAATGTACAATTTTTAAAGAAAAGTTTGTTAGAGAGCTATCTGTAATAAGCTATTTGTGTTAGCTTTTCCCTCTCCTATTCAAATATGCATATGTGTGTATAACAATGTGTGTATGAGTATGAATATCAACGTTAACAGTGGTGAAAGAATTAAGGATAAATTTTAAATGTTTATTTTTTATTACTTATCTAATAAACATGTATACTTGAATAATAAGAATTTTTTTTCAAATTAGTTCATCATTAACAAGAGAACAATTCATGGTAGGCTTGACCTGAGAAGTGGAGCAGGGAGGGATAGAGCATAAAGGGTGGTGTGGATAGCTTGCAGGTAGATCTTTCAAATTGTGCTGCTTTGAGTGTGGTATGCCAGTTTCTGAATTGCATGTTTCCTGATAAAGACACTGATGGTAGGTAGAAACTTTTACAGCAATTTGACAGTGCTGTGGCACACAAACATGTGACCAGTGGGCTTATAATTTGTACATCTTTATTTTTTTCTCTCTCTAGCAAACTCCTTTTATAAAAAAAGATTTTTTTAAATATGATTTTTAGGGAGAGAGGAAGGGAGAGGGAGAGCGAGGAGAGAGAGATGGATGTGAGGATGACACAATCATCTGCCTCCTGCACCCACCCCACCAGGGATGGAGCCTGCTATCTGGGCTTGTGCCCTGACTAGGAATCAAACCCTCAACCTTTTGGTGCATGGGATGACAACCAACCAACTGAGCCACACCAGCTAGGGCTCTTGTAATTCATGTTTATTTTACAAGGGGTCTGTAACACGTTGAAAATAACTTTTAAAATTATTTTCACCATTGAAAATTGCTCTAATGTGTAGTCTTGGGATTAGGCTCAGGAGTTACATTTATCTGTTTAGTGTAATATCAGTAGTATCTGCTTAACTTTCTAAAAACTGGAATCTGTACACCAATACCTGATATCCTTGTAACTAAAAATCAAATAAAAACATCCTCGGGTGAGAGCAAAAAAAAAAAATTAGGAAGACGAGGGTAGAGGATGAATGTGTATATACGTGTGCATGTGCGTGTGCGTGTGTGTGTGTGTGTGTGTGTGTGTGTGTGGTTTTTAACGCGCGCGTGCTGTGATGGTTTTGTGTGAGAGCTAATTTTCATTTCACATTGTAGGAAGGTACCAGAAAAAGGTAATCTAAAAAAAAAAAAATCAAAAATAAGTAGAATAACATGATGTTTAAAATATGGACATGAAAAACAAAAGAAGTGCGTGTGCGATAAGGAACTAAAAACAGAGGAGTGGGATAAACAACGACGGGTATTTTAGCACAAGTAGTCAGGTGAGGTCTCTCTATGAGGGGACATTACTTTTTATGATGCAAACAGGCAATGTTAGGAAAGTGGTAGGTTTCCAGGCACAGCAAGCAGAAGATAAAAATGTCTCCAGATAAGGAGCTTGGTGTCTTCAAGTGGCTGAAAGAAAGAAAATTGTCATTGGAGCTTAGAGAAGAGACAGAGTGGATTGTAAGGTTTAAAAAAAAGGAAAAAGGAAAAAAAAGTAGGCAGGAGCCAGACTACAATTATACAGGAAATTGACTCACATGGTTTGGGTGGTGAAACTGGAACTGGCTTGCACTGGCTCAGTAGAATCAATTTTTCAATTTCAAAAATTTTGTGAGCTGGTTTTTAAACACAGTCATAATTATTTAAAATCTATTTTTATTTATTTCAGAGGAAGGCAGAGGGAGAAGATAGAAACACCAATAATAAGACAGAATCGTTGATCAGTTGCCTCCTGAACACCCCGCACTGGGGATCGAGCCCGCAACTGGGCTCTGACCAGGAATTGATCCATGATCTCCTGCTTCATAGGTCCATGCTCAAACTCTGAGCCACACCAGCCCGGCTAACCACAACCATTAAAATTAAATTGAACTTACAATTAAATTAAATAAAGGTAATAAATACTCAAAACTCTTAACTTACTAATTATTATTCTATTGAAGGGGATCAGAATATTCTACCTCAAAATATCCACTTTGGCATATGGATTATTTGAGCTGAAGACAACTGAGAAACAGCTCTCCACCCTGAATTTAGCTGCCTACAAGGAGGTAATTTCCCTTTGTGAAGGTGTGGCCCTTTTCCTTTCCCATACAGGGAGGAAGAAAATAACCATTGTCAATGGCACAAAGGTGGGTCTGCATAAACAAACATTATAAGGTTATCAGGAGGCTCCAACCCTTTTCTTCAATTAGTTTACTCCCAAACTTCTCCTCCTATATCTTATCGTTTCACAAACTTATCTCCATTTGTTAACACAGTATACAATACTAACAGCCTCTTTGGGTTTTCACTTCCTTTTCTGTGTGCATGTAAAATTGAAATAGTAACATCCAATACAATTTTTATGCCCTTTCTTCTGTGAGTGTCTCTTTTGTCAGTTTAATTTGCAGATTCCAATCACAGGGCCATCACTATATTTTACTTCTACTTATTTCCTTGAGATTATTGATGTTTATTGCAAGGTTGCTCAACAACGGCACTAATGGTAATTGGAGCTGGATTCTTTGTTATGGGAGTTGTCCTATGCATGGTAGGAAGTTCAGCAGAATCTCTGGCCTCTGCCCACCAGATGCCAGTAGCACAGATGTGACATCCAAACAAAAGTATCTCCAGACATTGCCAAATGTCCTCTGGGGAGCAAAAGCACCCATAGCTAAGTATTACTTGATGGAAACACTATGACAGTGCACTGCTGCACATCTCTTCCCAATTGCTGGGGCCGTGGTCCTAGCTTGAAACTGGCCAGGGTAGGAATATTTACAGCACAGGAATTGACCAACACCACAAACCAGGGCTTGATTTGCTGTTTTGATGACTGTCTAAATTTAAGAAAATAGTGGTGAAAATGTTAATGCACACTAACTTGTATGTCACCATGACCTTATGAATAGTACAAAATATTGATGAAATATCTTCCAGTATTCAAAAATTTCTGATTCAGAAATGTCACTCACATTACTAAGAAATAATTAAATTTTATATATTTCAAGAAAAAGAGCATGGCTCAGTTGTGTCAAATGCTGCAGGAGGGTCAAGTAAATTGAGAATAAATTAGATTTGTCCAGATAAACTTGCTGCCGACCTTCTAGTGGAGTAGCAAGGAAGAAAGCCTGGGGTGTGTTGAGGGAGTGAGAAAGCTGAGAATAGTAACAACTAGAGGCCCGGTGCACAAAATTAGTGCCCTTGGGGCATGTCCGAATGATGCCTTAAGCCCCGCCCCCCCCACAGTCTGACATTCTTAGCACTGTTGCAGAGACAGAGACGGGAGAGACTCCTGCCACCGCCTATGCGCTCCCCAGCTGTGAGCCTGGCTAAGGGCATCTGGCTGAGCGGTGCTCCCCCTATGGGTGTGCACTGACCACCAGGGGCAGCTACTGCCTTGAGTCTACCCCAAGTATGCATCAAAGCTACCAGTCATTCTACTGTTAGGTCGATTTGCATATTAGCCTTTTTTATTATATAGGATTCTTTGGAGGGAGCAGAGATAAGGGGTGATGGCTAGTTGGTAGGAATAAATTCAAAAGATTATTTTTAAAATCCTTACCTGAGGATATTTTTTCCACTGATTTTACTTAGAGAGGAGGGAAGAAAGAAGGGGTTAAAAAAAAAAAAAGAAACAGGATGTGAGAGACATCCATTGGTTGCCTCCCTCACCACCAGATCAGAGGGAGATGGGATAGAGCTTGTAACAGAGGTCTGTGCCCTTGACTGGAATCACACCCGCAGGCCAATGTTCTAACCTACTTGTGTCTAACACAAGGCCCTCGGGCCAAATCCGTCCCGCCAGGCCTTGCAATGTGACCCCCACCGTGCTGTCATCACTGCACTCCGCTGCGTTTCCATCACAATGACAGTTTATGACTGTTCAGTAAACCATTCGGCCCGCGATTTAGGCTGGATTTTAGATTTTGGCCCCTTCTCTGATTGAGTTCGACACCCCTAAACCACTAAGCACCTAGCCAGGGCTCAGGGATTATTTTTTTTAATATGGGAGATATTAACTAAGGTGACCAGATCGTCCCGCTTTTGGCGGGACAGTCCCGATTTTTAAGAATTTTTAAAAATTTTGAAAATTGGGACCGTCCCGCCCAAAATGGGACAATCTGGTCACCTTAAAATTAACACATGTTAAGATGTTGCTGGGGCCTTAACTGGTTTGGCTCAGTGGATAGAGCGTCAGCCTGCGGACTGAAGGGTCCCAGGTTCCATTCCCGTCAAGGACAAGTACCAGTTGGGGGGGGGTGCAGGAGACAGTTGATCAATGTTTCTCACTGATGTTTCTAACTCTATCCCTCTCCCTTCCTCTCTGTAAAAAATTAATAAAATGTATATTAAAAAAAAGATGTTGGGTATGATCCAAAAGTGAGAGAGAAATTAAGTGTGTGAGAGAGAGATAAATTTAAGGGTAAAAGTCTTTTGAGTAGGTTTAAGAGGACAAGGTCCAGGGATAAAAAGGGGAGTAAGGACAGTTGATGGCCTGAGATTTAAAAACACACACACACCAAAAAATCATTGCCAATGTCATAAGGTTATGAGGAGGCTCCAAGGAAATTAACCAATGCGAGACCACTTCGTAAACCCTAAGATACTAAAAAGTACTGTCAAACTACTACTTTTGGTAATAAAAGATTTTACTTGCAGATTTGGAGATAGTGTTTTTCTCGATACCACATCAACCACTTTTATTACATCTCCTGGCTCCGCTGACCTCTTCAAGCTCCACGAGGAAAAAGCTTACAAGATTAATCTCTAGATTCTCCATTCCACTGACTTTAGAAGGCTGGGAAAATAGTATTAAGATTCATACACCGGGACTAGAAGCTACTCTTCCCATCTTGTTTCTCCTCCTGTTTGACTGATTCCAGTTTTGTGATCTTTACAGGTTCTGTAGTTTCGCTTTTTCCTTTTTCCCTGCGATCCTATGCCAAAGGCAGATGAAGGAAAACATCTACTACACCACTCCTTAAACACGCCTTTCCCTTTCCCATCTCTCAACAACTAACGGGAAAGCGAAACTCCATTTCAGGGGTCGAACAGAAAAAAAACAAACCCGGGAAACATGTGAGGTTGGTTAGCGAGTGTTTCCCCTCCGCCCGAAGGCGGGCTGCGCGGCGGGGGTGCAGGGGCGCGGGGCGCGGGGTGCGGGGTGCGAGCGGGCGGGGGTTCGGTCACCCCGGCGCCGCAGGTCGCCCGGGGCGGCGGAGGGAGCGGGAGGGGCGGATCGCGGGAGAGGACTCGGCTGGAGGCCTAGCGGGCGCTACAGAGAAACGAAACGTCCTCCAGGGCGGGTCGGAGCGCGGGCCACGACAGCCCTGGGCCTTTAGGGCTTCGAGACGAAGAGGAACCCCGCCTCCAAAAAGGGGGGTGGCCCGGCTGAGAGGGCGGGGTCACCATTCCCTTCACCTGCCAATCGCCGCTGGCCTGGGCTCGGCTTCGGGGCTCGGCTTCTGGCCTCGGTAACTACGCAGGCGGAAATGACGTGATTCTAGTTCCGTTCCGTTTCTCCTCTTGGCCCCGCCCCCGGCCCCGCCCCTCCACCTGCTTCCTCCACCCGCGGGTTCCGAACCCAGAACCCAAACCGTAGGACGTGAGCACGGTGGTTGGAGCTGTTAGAAGCCCGCAAGGCCATCGCCAGTGGCTTTCAGACAAAGGATTTTAGGAGGGAAACCAAAGTGAGTTTCTGCGAAATTGGACTCAGTATGTTATACATTCCCGTCACTTCAACCAGGATTTTAAAGATGTTGGAGAAACACAGGGAAATCTTTTCTATGTAATTAATTCATTTGCACGTAAGAAAGCTGGTCTTCCCTGTCATTTGACAGGTCTTGCCCAGAATAAGTGACACACGACCGACCGCAGTCCAATGCTACTTCTGAATGGGAGCTCTTTAGCTGGTTAACTCTAAAACAATTGACTGAAAACAAGTGACCTCTTAAATGAATTTTCAGATAACCTTAAAAGATAAAAATACTGTACATCTAAAGCAAGTTTGAGTTGCTTGAAATCTAAATATCTCACACTTTGGCAATGCTTTAGTTTGTCAACGATTATTGCAATGTCAAATACTATTGTTCAGAAACTGCCCAGCTCTGCTATTTCCTTCCTGTGCTCCTGTATGTAATACAGTCAGTTTGTAAGAAAGATGATTTGTGGGGGGAAAACACTGGGGGGGGGGGGGGAATTCCCTATATGATAACATTTATGCTGAAGAAATTCCCTGTAGGCTAATTCAGTGATTCACTGAGCTTCCAAAATTTTATATGGAACCAAAAAAGATCCCCAAATAGCCACAGCAATCTTGAGGAAGAACAAAGTTGGAGGAATCACAATACCAGATTTCAAGTTATACTACAAAACCACTGTAATCAACAGGCACAAGACCAATGAAACAGTACAGAGACCCCATTATGTGTACTTGTACTTTATTTTTTAATCTTGTAGAATTATGTTTAAATTTGAATTTGTTCAAAACTGCTAAACTGCACAACATTGTTGAATGTGCTTGTTACTGAATTATATTCTTAAATATGGTTAAAATGGTAAACTTATGTATATTTTACCAAATTTTTAAAAATTAAAATTAGAAAAGTACAAAACTAAGCAAGTAATTAAGAAAAAATTTTTTAAATGTAAAAAAAAAATGAAATAGAAAAATTACGTTTAAGGATCATTGCCTTGTTTATATATTACTTTTAAAATAAGTCCTGCATGGGGACCAGGGGCAGACTGGAGGGGACCAATGGGGGAGAAAGGGTGAGATATTAATACTTTCAACAATAAACATTAAAAAATAAAATAAAAAGCCCTGTGTGTTTGCTCTCCCTCCTGGGAGTATGCCAGTGCCTTTTCCTGCCCCCATCCCTTCCTCCTCCTCCCCCCCCCCCCCACCACCACCACACAAGCATTTCCTAAACTCTAAGGGACCCAGGAGACTTTCAACCAGAGCAGCAATGGGCAGTGGCAGTTAGTCCTTGGCAAACCACCTGAACTTGTCCCTAAGACCCCCTTTTCTCTGATATATATATTGATTTCAGAGGGGAAAGGAGAAAGAGAGAGATAGAAACATCAATGAAGAGAGAGAATCATTGATTGGCTGCATTCTATAGGGTAGGGGTGTCGAACTCAATCAGAGAAGGGGCCAAAATCTAAAATCCAGCCTAAATCGCGGGCCGAATGGTTTACTGAACAGTCATAAACTGTCATTGTGATGGAAACGCAGCGGAGTGCAGTGATGACAGCGCGGTGCGGGCCACATTGCAAGGCCTGGCGGGACGGATTTGGCCCTCGGGCCTTGTGTTTGACACATGTGCTATAGGAGATTGAACCTTCAGCCCAGTCATGTGGAGGAAGCTGGAGACAGAGTTCAATCACCTGATCAATGATTAAATCAACCTACAGAATAAGATCCAAAAACATTCTGGACGCCAAAGCTCAGTAGAGCTTCCTGGTTGGTGAACATGTTGATGTGTAGGGAGGATGACATGTCCTAACTCCCCAGGAAGAGGGCATGAAAGCTCTGTGCTCCCTCCCACACCTGCCCTATGTATATTATTTAAAAATAAAACTGTAATAATTAAGTATGGCATTTTCCTTGGTTCTATTGAAACAGAAGAGAGAGCTCACAAAAATATTTGTGTGATTTTTTTTTTCCCTTCAAGTTCTCTTTCCCTTGCTTCTGGCTGTTATACTTCCCTCTACATATCTCCCTCTGCCTATCCTCTTCTGGGATTTGCTGTTAAACCCCAGCCTCTTACTGGCCTTGTGTTTAAGAAATGTTGCAGTGTTGGTTGTCAGAGTAGAGTTGAGTGGCTTCCTTTTCCACGCAGCTCTACAGAGAGAATTTGGCTTAGAAGAGACTTAACTTTGAGCTCAGTATCTGGAATGTCTCCACAAGAGGTTGGCATGAGCAGCAGTGGTTGGGAAAGGGTGAACTCTGATTCCCTATATTTAAAGGGTTTTTTTACCTTAGCAATTTTGTCCTCAACTATTTGAAGTCAAACATGCCAGTCACCAACACAAGAATGACCTCCTTTCCCTCCAAACAAGAAATTGATATTTCTTCTAACCTTGGCCTTATTATGCCAGGGGAGCATTTTTTTTCTCTCTCTGCCTATTATGGATGGAAAGTTTGCACCCAACCTTCTCCAAACTAATGTGTTAAAACTCTAATCCCCAATGTGATGGTATTTGGAGATAGGGCCTTTGGGGGGTAATTGGGTCACGAGGCTGGAGTCCTCCTGTTAGATTAGGATCCTAAGAACAGAGCTTGCTTCCTCTCTCACTGCTCTCTGTCGTGTGAGGGTACCATGAGAAGGTGTCAGTGCAAACCAGAGAGCTTTCATCAGACACTGGACCTATTGGCACTTTGATCTTGGACTTCCAGCCTCTAGAACTGTGAGAAATAAATATTTGCTGTTTATGCCGAAAATGGTTTGGCTCAGTGGATAGTGCGTCGGCTTGCAGACTGAAAGGTCCCGGGTTCCATTCCTGTCAAGGGTATGTACCTTGGTTGCGAGCACATCCCGGGTGGGGGTGTGTGCAGGAGGCGGCTGATCGATGTCTCTCTCTCTCTCTCTCTCTCTCTCTCTCTCTCTCTCTCTCTCTCTCTCTCTCTTTCTCTCTCATATCGATGTTTCTAACTCTATCCCTCTACCTTCCTCTTTGTAAAAAATCAATACAATATATTTTAAGAAAATATTTGCTGTTTAAGCCACCCAGTCTATGGTATATTTGTTATAATGGCAACCTGAATAAGACACCACACAGATTGTATTTTTACTGGAAATAACTGAAAACAATGGTGTAAAGTCAAAATACAGGGGTTGGCAAAAATAGGTTTACAGCTGTTTGCATGGAAATAATACAAATAATAAAATAACTAATCTATAATAATAAAAGCGTAACATACTAATTAGACCAGATAGCTGAACAATCTTTGGGACGTCATTCCAGACGTCCTTCCTGATGAAGCCACAGTGGAGGGGGTGAGGCAGAGGCCATTGGAGGTGACCAGGCAGGCAGACAGGCAATCAGTTAGGGGTGATCAGGCAGGCAGGCAAGCAATTAGGGACGATCAGGCCGCAGGCCGAATGGTTAGGTGCAACCAGGCAGGCAGGCAGAGTGGTTAGGGGATACCAGGCAGGCATGTGAGTAATTAGATGTGATCAGGCAGGCAGAGAGAGGAGTTAGAGATGATGAGGTTGGTAGGTAGGCAGGCAAGCAGTTAGGAGCCAGCAGCCCCAGATTGCTAGAGTGATGTCTGACTGCCAGTTTAGGCAGGGATCAGGCCTAAACCGGCAGTCGGACATCACCCAAGGGGTCCTGGATTGTGAGAGGGTGCAGGCTGGGCTGAGGGACCCCCCAACCCTTGCACAAATTTTGTGCACTGGGCCTCTAGTAAGTAATATAAGAATAAACTGTCTCATGTACTCACAATTATAATCCTACTTTTGTCCACTCCTGTATGATCTTTTCCTCTAGTGTTAGATTTCTACTTATTAGGGATTGAGAGGTGGTGATAGACATTTTGATTCATTTATTCATGAAGACTTAATGAAATTATAGTTAGACCAACCCAGTTATAAATATCCCAAGATGGTTACAATCTCTTTTAAAAAAATTACATTTTTCAAAATTTTATTTACAAAATTTATTTTATTAAAAAAGTATATGTAATATATCCCATGATATAAAATTCTAAACATAGAATTAAAAACAGGATAATTGAAAATATAAATATCAATTTTCCTATGTATATCTTCTGTGCATTTATTGTCTTTTTCTAGGTTTGAATTTTTCTTTATTTTACAGTCTGACTCACACTTATAGTAAAAACATTTTAAATATCACACATGTATAAAGCAAAAAGTATAAATTCCTTTTCTCCATCCCCCCATCAGCTATTGGTGAATATCCTTTCAAACTTTCAACCACATGGATATATTTTTGTTTTTTTCATAAATGTTTTCACATTATACATGTTTTTCTAGAACTTGTTTCTCCCCCCCCACCCCCGCCCCCGAACACTGTTATGGAAATCTTTCATAATAGAGCTACTTTATTCTTGCTTGTACTGTATTCTTTTATGTATCAATATCTACCTAGCCAATTCCCTAATGATGGTTAAGATGTTTTCAACATTTTATTAATAGAAACAAGATTGCAACAAATGTTGATTGCTTAGACATATACAGTTATTATATTCATTTGCATATCCTTATGTCTTTTTCCTTCTTTTAAAGATCAGATATTTTTCATGAAAACCAAATTATTAAAAATGAATGGAAATCATGGGTAATGTGTGAACCAAGAAGGAAAAAAAAAAATCATGGTTTTAGTAATCCCATTTTTACCAAATTCTATTCATGTCAACAAACCAGGAAGCCATTTAATCTCACTCTTTTTAAAGCCATGACTGAGTAGGTACGATGGAGGATTAGATGAAGGCTGCTCCTTCCAGTGGAATCTTTCCAGGGGCTCCACGTAATTTCTTAAGCACATCCTTGTTCCACAGCCAGAAGCTGCCAGGTTTATCTCAACTCAATTTTAACTGTTTGGCCACGGGTGACATACATTTTAAAAGTTTAAGATGTTTCTAACAAAATATCATTAGCCGTCAAAAAGGACCTGGGTTTGGAGGACAGGGAGGTAGGAGGGAGGGCAAACTTTCTATCATCTCAGCTTTGACAAGGCCAAACTCCATGTACCATATATCAACGACACAGATTCATTAAGATCTGGTCTCCCTACAGCTTGCCCTTTACTTTATACCATGCACTCGTGCTTTTGGAAAACTTGAGTTTTCCATGGATACTTGGCTTTGATTACATTGTTCCTAACGTGATTTGGCTCTTATCTCATTAAGAAAAATTCTTATTGATTTTCAAAAAAGAATAGATATGACTCCTTCAAAGTGGTTTACATTGTTTTCCAGATTAGGCATTTCAATTAGGGGAGTAAATATTTTAAGACTGGGAGTGTGCATAGTTCTGGTTTTTTGGAGTGTGGTTCTTCAGCTAACTCAACCTTGAATTGGCATTACAAGGAGTGTGCCATGAACTTCTGGGCCGTCAGTCTTAAGTTTGGACCCGAAAGACAGAGGAAATGTCCATTTGTTTAACCTAATGAAATGGAGGAGGGGTGCAGTGAGGAATGGACGCTTGCCTTTGTTGTCAGCTATTAGTGAATCCCAAGATACTAGGCTTCCTGCGGCTTGTTGCAGAGGTTTTCAAGCATCCCCTTAAAATATTAAAAAGAATTACAGATCCCCACCGGACTGCAGTCACCTTTATTCAACATATAGATAATGAATGGTCTCACCGGGGGCGTTCATCTATTTTAATAGCTGTGACAGATTAGAAACTATTATACTAGCTTAAGGCACTTTCTTATTTTTATCTCAGGTGCTGGTAAAACTCAGCTAAAAAGTTATGAGTGAGCTTTTAAAAAATTATCCCCCACCATGGAATCCCAGCTACCATTCATAACAGTCATCCTCTTCTTCCTTATTCAGTCTCAAGAGGCGGCTTACTATCTCTGAATGACAAAAGCAGCTTGTAGAAGGGGAAATTGTGTGGGGTAAAAAAAAACAAACCACCCTACACAAATAGTTTTTCCTCATACCTGGAAATGGACGAGCAAAAGTGAACAATGGATTAAAAATACCAAACCAATAAATATGATGTACATGTATTCCTAGAGAGTGATTTATATTTTGGCAAGCTGTGTTCTTCGTAGCTCAGATTCTGTCTGAGTGCTTCCATTGAAGACGCAGCCGGCCTACAAAGGAGTGTAAATCTGGGCCGACTTAGAGTTCTTCTCTCGAACGGCTCTTCCCCTGGCACTGGCAGATGGACGTGTCATCATGCGGCTGAGGAACAAGTTCCATCCCATCACGTATTTCGGGTTTGCTGGACTGGCGCTCAGCGTAATTCTGGAATGTGTTTTCGAAGGCAACGAAAAGATTAGTCCGCGCTTCATCCCCCCCTATTCCTCCCCAACCACGCTGTCATTTCTAGTTGCTGCAAACCCAAGGTCTGATTTGGACTGGTTGTTCCAGTCCTAATGTTCCATTTTTCACTTCAGTTATTGTAGGCACTAGTGTAATATTTCATAATCTATCAAGGAACCCTAATCCACAATTGTATGTGTAGGTAGGAAGCCTCTACAAAAAGGGAGGCAAGCCAAGTGTTCTTGAAACAACAGCACCAATTAGCATTTATCCTCCACGGATCAGTGAAGAATTAACTTTACTGAATATTTAAATCAGGTGGTAAGCATCTCAAAATCAGTTGGTGCTCTCACCCATCTCTCCTTGAGGCTTGCAGTCAGTCATGCACGTTTTGTAAATGGTGACAGGCCTGTGAAATGTCCCTCCCCTTTGGCCACTGACAAATATTCCTAAAAATTGGATATTTCCTTACAGTGGTTTCAAGTACACTGAGCTGGATCCTCCTGGTCCAGGGCCAAACCCAAGAAAGCACTGACATGAACACATGAGCCTAATTAATATCGTAGGGAGGGAAACTCCTACTGGCCCAGCAGAGGGAACAGAACTCATCTAAGGGTTGTTTCTGATAAAGAGCGTAATTCATCCTTTAAATTTTTCTGTGATTGTGCATGTTTGTACCCTATTCCACCAGCCTTACTTCCCCACAAAGCATCTGGTATCAACAAGCAGCTAAGGGAATTTACTCTTTTTTCTGCTCACAGGAAAAATGAATTTAGGTTAAAAACAAGAACATATGTTCTTAATATTTTTCTTCCTGGCTAGATTTTAATAAGTAAAGGTAGTTACACAAGAACTAATCCTTGGATTCCCAATAAACATTTGTACCATACTTCCTCTTTTAGCCCTAGGTGTTAGTCCTATTATAAGTATTTTTCATTTGTTTGTTTTATGTAGGAAGCTAAATATTTGCTTTCCATCCAATACTAGAATAGCAAAAGCAGGACTCCTAAGCAGCAGGAAGAACAAAGAGGTGGACATTTTGAGTGGGGAGAGATGTTAATAACCTCTACTCTAAGCCTCTAATTTTCTAGATAATGAATTCCCTAAGGCATTTAGTAAAAAAAAAAGGCACTGACAAGATAGTTGGAGCTGTTCACCTATTTTTGTGAGGCTGTAAGCATTGTTTTTGTAATACTGAATGGAGATAAAATATGTTGGCTACCAAGAGACTTAGTACTCTTCCTCCTTTAGGCTGGTCCTTGGCTTAACCAGAGTCCACAAGCTCAATCTCAGAAGGCATCCTCCTGTTCCCCCCCCCCTCACCCCCCTCCCACCCTCCCCGGAAACAAGGCACTTCAGCCAAACATGACCCCGCAGGACGGATACCCTGCACTGACCTGCAGTACCCTGTAATAGTAGCAGTAAAGCCTGTGTGGCTGTAGCAAGTCCCTGGCAGTCAACTGCCCTTCTTTTGCAATCCTCTTGGCTTCTTCATCATTTTCCTGAGAGGTGTAAAAAGAAACAATGAATGAAGTTCACTCCTGTGACCCACAGACAAAGCTAAAGGTGAGTGTGAGCTAGGACACGTGTGTGGTTGGATATGCACTGCATGGGAGAGCTGGATCATGATGAAACTATACTTAGGAACAAGGCTATGGACACGGACAGAGTGCTCTCCTAGACATCTCTGTTAGGTGGAAATGGTCATGCATGTTTGTACCCCATTCCACAGGCCCACTAATTCTCCCCCCCCCCCCCCCCAAAGTGCAACACTCCGCACGCAGCTTCTATTGTGAGGACATTGGTACTTCCTTAGATACCCAGAAAGTTTAGGGCTCATCATCTGTTCCCCATTCCAGCCTTCTCTGTTTGATATTAAAATACAAGCTAGAATAGAATGAGTCAGTTTCCATGTTATAACATCTCTTAAAAGCTCCCTTTAAATATGCGATCAGAGGCCCAAATTTCTTATTAACTGTTACCAATGAAAGACGATGTTGCTGTTGTAATAGACATTTAGTCACCAGTACCCACAGGCTGTCCCTTCAGTTACAGGAATAGTGAGCATTCCTAACTATATTTTGGGAAGATAGCTAAAATTTTACCATGCTGCCCATAGGAAAAGCCATTTGCAAGTAATTCTGATTCTTTATAAAGGGTCATAATAATTATTCTGCCTCAGGCACCCAGCTATTTCCCTAACCAAATACTGCTTCTCAGAAACAATAAAGTCTTATAATAAAAAGGTACATTTTTATAGTTTCAAATAAAACACAATCACTTTTTAATACTTTTCCTTTGAAAAAGAATTCTTATTTTATGGGAGACTTGTGATTCTTGGGATGCTGTATATCATGCCTTCATTATGAACGTGGGCCTTTTTTCTAACTGAGGGAAAAAAGGAGCACCATGTTGACTCAAATGTTTTCTTGTGCACAAAGCATTGCCACCTGGTCTTTCCTATCTGTAACTTGCATTTGCAGCATTCTTGCTTGTGTGTGTATACGCACAAATAGTGATTTCATGAGAAAGATATATATGCTACAAAACACTGGACTTCAAATATAAAAATCCTCAAAAATGTTGATAGAGGGCATACCAAGTGATAACGATATTGGTTCTTCAGCTATTTCAAGAGAATAAAAACTTTAGAAAATACTTCTTTTGACTAAATTATGTCAAATTAAATTGTGTTATGACGGAATTCCTGGAACTAATTCTGGTGAATTTGTTAATGCCTAAAGAAACGGAAATTCATAAAGTGTACCTTGGCCCATTTAACTTTCTCCAGTAAATCAGCAAGATTTCTTTTAATTGGTACATAATGTTTCCAAGGCTGGAGTGCCATGTAAAAATGTTCATAATACGGGGAGTCCTGCTTCAGAACCAGACTGTCGCCCAGCATGAGATACGGATATCTGTAAGCAGCCACAGTCCCATCCACGTTCACTTGATACTTGTACTGAAAGATGAAAACCAACACAAACAAACATTTTAACATTTGCTTCACTTACACTTCTCATCCACACTGTAAGACTAAACATAAAGGGATTGATTTCCACTTCCTAACTTTACTGTTTAACAGGTTTACATTTTATTTTGTAACTCATATTTTCTCTGTGTTAAAATCATAAGCAGCCATTAGCAGGCCAATTTTGAGAAATACAATGCAGCCCAGCCGACATGGCTCAGTGGTTGAGAGCTGACCTATGAAATAGGAGGCCACGGTTAATTCCCCGTCAGGGCACATGCTGGGTTGTGGGCTCCATCCCCAGTGGGGGGCATGCAGGAGGAAGCCAACTGATGAAGTTTCTCTCTCACCATTGATGTTTCTATCGCTCTCCCTTCCTCTCAGAAATCAGTAAGAACATATTTTTTTAAAAAAGAAATATAATGCATTTCTTAAAATCTTAAATAATTTTAAGAAATAGGAATACCTATTTCAACTATGTCTATATAATGAAGAATTCATATTTCTGTAACAAGGTAGGAAAGCTATTCTCAAAGATTTTATATTTACTAAACTGAATACTGATAACCATTTGAAATTTTACTTATACATTATTATTTTTTTTTATTTCTTATACCCATGAAAAAGAAAGGCAATAGCCTGGCTGGTGTGGCTCAGTGGTTAACATTGATCCAAGAACCATGAGGTCACTGTTAGATTCCCAGTCAGGGCACATGCCCGGGTTGCAGGCTTGATCCCTAATAAGGGGCATGCAGGAGGCAGCCAATCCATGATTCTCTCTCATCATTGATGTTTCTCTCTCTCTCTCTCCCACTCTCTTCCTCTCTGACATGAATAAAAATATGTATTTTTAAGTGAGAAAACTAATATTCAGAGAAATTTATAAACCTCTATTCTCAGAGTCCAAATACCTTGTTCTCATAATTATATGACACTGAGATGAGCAGGATAGACTCAGAAATTTAGTAAATAAATTTTTCTTAAGTAATTGATACTAAGGAGTTTACTAGCCAGTCAGGTTTTGTCACTGTTCACACCTCTGTCTCCTCTGAATTCAGGACAATGCGCTGAGGAGCGAGGCACCTGAGTCCACAGGGCAGGGGCAACAAGACATGAGGGCCTCACAGTTAGCAGCAGAGGCAGGACTCAAGCTCAACTCCAGCTCCTGTGTTACTAATATGGAATTTATACTCTCTCCGTTTACAAAGGCATTTGAGACCATATATGTAGGAGACATTTATATATCCAGTTTATTGAAAAAACACACACAAAGAAATGCACCCAAACCCCAAGTTAATCCTTGTGCTATATTTTGAGTATTAAGTACAGTTCTGAGTAGTTCGGTAGACAAAATTAACAACAGGAAACCAGGCGTGCTGTCATTCCCATGCCTAGTAAGGAAGGGTGCGCCAGCTCAAAAGACAGGAGGAACTGGACCCAGCCCAGCTAGTCACCAATTTATCCCTTCAGACCCACCCAGGAAGAATTCAATGCATACCTTAAAGAAATCAAAGAACCCGATCAATTTGGCCTTCCCGAGCTCTTTTTCTTTCTCTTGGAAGAAGAAGTACCCCGTGATGCCCGCGTCCAGCAGCTCTGGGTTTTCCTTGGCCAGCTGCACCAGCTGGAGCCGCTCCTCCCGGCTGTCTCTCCCTCTGAAAAACGCCTTCTCCGTCTTATTGGCCCAGGAAGGCCCTAGGAGGTGGAGACCATAAAAAAAAGAAAGGTTATATATTTAAAACCTTTATGTGGTAAATGTAATCATCTTTAATCTAACATTGTCATCTAAGATGCTGAAGCTCTTTTGTCATCACCACGTCTTCTAAAGCAGGGGCGGGGAACCATTTTCTGCCAGTGGCCATTGGAGATTATAACATCATTCGCAGGCCATACAAAATCATCAGCTTAAAAATGAGCCTGCTGTATTTGGTCAAACATCTGATTAACTCACCCCTAATGCCTTGGCAGGGCCAGACCCAATGCTTTTGTGGGCCTTATGCCACCCTCTGACTGGACGTTCCCCAGCCCTGTTCTAAAGTAAATGCTATTTTCAAACCTCATGGGATTAGAATGCTCTAATTTCATTTCTTTGTCTGCTAGGGAGAGCTCACTCAAATGGTGGAGTTTCTGTTGTGCAACATTGTGCAACATTAGAAAATATACAACATATTACTGGACCAAGTTCAAAGCAAAGAGAGATTCATTGATTTGGCCTGTTCACCAAGGCATTAGCTTCTTCCATCTTTTTTGTTTGTTTTTGTTAAGGACTTGCGGAGATTTTTTCCATTGGTTTTTTAGAGAGAGTGGAAGGGAGGTAAGGAAGAGGGGGGGGGAGAGAGAGAGAGAGAGAGAGAGAGAGAGAGAGAGAGAGCGAGCGAGCGGGGGGGGGGAGGGGGAGGGGGGAGAGGGAGGGGAAAAGGGGAGGGGGAGGAGGAGGAGGAGGAGGAGGAGGAGGAGGAGGAGGAGAAGAAGAAGAAGAAGAAGAAGAAGAAGAAGAAGAAGAAGAAGAAGAAGAAGAAGAAGAGGGAGAAACACTGATTTGAGAGAGACAGATCAATTGGCTGCCTCCCACACTCGCCCTAACTAGGACTGGGAATTGGACCTGCAACCTAGGTAAGTGCCCTTGCCTGGGAATCAAACCCATGACCCTTTGGCATGCAGGCCAATGCTCTAACTACCGAGTAAGAGGGCACTTCTTCCATCTTCTGTGCTTCATAGTACAAAATGAGCCAGCTTTTGTCTGTAGACAAGGTGACCAGAACAAACTAGGTAACTAAGTAACACCCACACATCTTTAATCCTTAGCTTGCTCAGAATTATGAGCACAGCACTTCAGAATACATGGAAGACTTTTGCTAACATGCTGTTATTTATACACACACACACATACACACACACATACACACACACACAGGTATACATATACACAGGCATACAGACACTTATATTCTCTTTCCTGGTAGGGAAATATTCAGGAAGAAATAATTTAAATATATTTCTATTATTCTAAAGCGAGGTCATTAGTTAGCACCTGTCAGTGTTCTACAGGATAAATCATAAGACACAGAAATTGGAGAGGATCAGACTCATTAGTATGTTAGCACACCTTTCAGAAATGCACTGTTATCAAATAAAAAGTAGGTCAGTTTTCCTTTCACATCATCTTTAGATGGTTTATGAGGAGTCTCTGGACTTGTCTATAAAATCAGTCCACCAAACCACAACACAGACAGGCTATAAAGAGAGGGCAGGCTTTCTTCGACTCAGGGAGTTCAGTTTAATGAAAGGTGTGTTGTGCCATAAACCTAAGGCCATTAAAAAGGGGAAAGGAATTCAGATTTTAAAGAATCAAGAGAAGCAGAAAGAGGAAAGGGGAAGAATTTCTTAGATACAGTGTTGGAGGAATAATACCCAAATTACACTGCTATCATATTCTCGTACATATATTTTTTATGCTTTTCAAAGGTATCTCTCACTTCATCTAGCAATATAAAGGCATTAGTGTCAGAATTCAGTGATAATTTTACCAAATATATGTGTCCAAATAGTAGTTATAAGTGACCAACTCAAAAGAGACTCAGCTCTGATAGGTTTGCACATTACTAGCCCAGCTCATGTAGCTTTAATTTTTGGATTAGAAGAATCCTAATGAAACCTCTTTGGTGTATAGAGTGCTGTTTCTCTTGTTTCTTGGTTAGAAAATAAGAAAAATGGCTATTTAAATATATATACATATACTCTCCTTGACTAAACATCCCCTTCACCTTGTTTTATTTCTAAGCTTTTTCTTAGATAATGAACTTGAATTTACCTGTATTTCCCTGAATAGAGAGGAGGTCATTTGAAACACCTCTCATTGCTTCGAGTGTGGAGTGAGTGATGTCATACGTCGGAAGGATAATATCTCGGGAATCCAGAGAGCCACACCATGAAATGATAGGTAAAGGGCCAGGCGTTTCATTGACTTTTCTGTGTTCCAAAGGCCAATCTCCAAGATTAATATAAAATTCTAAATCTGGGAGAAGGACCTAAATAAACAAACAAACAAAATAAATCAATAAAAATCAGTGCTGAGAAGACCTCTGTGTTTGGTACTAAATGTTTCAGTTCTTTGGCTGTCTTAAATATCCTATCTAATAAAAAAGAAATATGCAAATTGACCATCATTCCAACACACAAGATGACTGCCCCCATGTGGTCAAAAATCCTGCCCCCATGTGGACATAAGATGACCACCACAAGATGGCCAGCAGGGGAGGGTGGTTGGGAGGGATCAGGCCAGCAGGCGAGGGCAGTTGGGGGTGATCAAGCCTGCAGAGGAGGGCAGTTAGGGTGATGAGGCTAACAGAGAAGGGAAGTTGGGGGCAACTGGGCCTGCAGGGAAGGGAAGTTAGGGGGTACCCAGGCCTGCAGGGGAGAGCAGTTGAGGGGGAGGAGGGAGACATCAGACCTGCAGGGGAAGGCAGTTAGGGGCAATCAGCCTAGCAGGGGAGCATCAATCAGGCTGGCAGGGGAGTGATTAGGGGGTGATCAGGAAGGCAGGCAGATGAGCAGTTGGGAGTCATCAGTCCTGGATTGTGAGAGGGATGTCAGACTGCCTGTTTATGCCTGATTCTACCGGGATCAGGCCTAAACAGGCAGTCAGGCATCCCTCGAGGCGTCCCAGATTGGAGAGGGTGCAGGATGGGCTGAGGGACACATATTCCTGTGCATGAATTTTGTGTACCGGGCCTCTAGTTTCTGATAAAATGGAACATCTGAAAATAGCAGAAGAAGAGAAAAGAATGCCTCAGTCATCAGTATCAGATAATCAAGGATGAGGATAATACAGAGTCAATCCCATAACCAGGAATCAGCTACCTCTGTTCAGGGGTGACGTTTTAAGTTGGTCTGTAGTGTGAAGCTGAAATTGTACAGATGGGTAAGAATGAGTGGTTTTCTTTCTGGCAGCTGCCTAAGTGAGAATCTACAAAGTTAGATTCAAGCCCTTGTTTTCCTTCTCTCTATCAAACCTCTTTATCGCAACTACCTTTGATTCTGGAATCTGCTACTCCATCTCCACCTCTGCAGACAATGTCTTTATCATCTGCCTAGATTGTTGCAATAGCTTACTTCCTAGGTGTTCTGTTGCTAGATTCTCCCCACTCTATTATGTTTTCCACATTGCTGCTCAAATTTCTTTTTTTTCCTTCCTTTTTTAAAATTTTTTATTAAGGTATTATATGTGTACATATCTTACCATTGCCCCCCCGCCCCCAACTCCCATACATGCCCTCCCTCCCCAGGCTGCCCAAATTTCTAAAACCAAAGTTAATGTTACTACCAGACTTAACAGAACCTTAAGCCTTTAGGACAAAGTCTAAACTCTCTGGTTAGAACTCAAGGTCCTACTATTACCTTTGAGCCTCATCTTCTATCTGTTTATGTGCCAGTAAACTTTGGGTTACTCTCTGAAAATGCCACCCACTTTAATATGTAATTCTCTTTGGCCAGAATGTTCTTCTCCTGCTTATTCACTTGGCACTTTCCTTTCACATCCAGAGCTAATGACTCACCCTCGCTATGATTCACCCTCCCAGGCATTTTAACCTGGTACCTATTTTTCTCTCAGGCCTGTCATGTTGTGGTACAATTGTTAGTTTATATTCACATCCCACCCTCACTTCCAAATTACAAAAACAAGTCCCATGAGAATGAGGAGCTCAAAGACCAGAGGTGAGACTCATTTATCTTAGATTTCTTCCCATTCACTGGGCAAAGAACCTGGAACAAAACAGAAGGTCGAGGGATGTGACTATTCACCCTATTGCTTTTCTCATATCTCTATATATAAAAGGCTAAGTGACTGTCCGACCAGTACCTATGGCACACAACAACCACCAGAGGGCAGACACTCAACGCAGGAGCTGCCAAGCTGTGGTGACTTGGGTTCTTGGGTGATGCACCCTGGAACCAGAGAGGAGGGAGCCCAATTCTGAGATACATCACCTGAGAACCGCCCTCTCACAATCCAGGATCCCTTCAAGGGATATAGGAGAGCTGGTTTTGGCCCAATCTCTGCAAGCCAGGCCAAGGGACCTTATGTGCCAGAGGGACCCAGTGCTCACTCTGCAGATGCCCTTAGAGCTAAGGTGCTGCCCTAGGTACAGCCAGCTGGGGAGGTACCGTGGGAGGTTGGCACCACAGCGTGTCCAGCCTGTCTTGCCCAGTCCTGCCCTGCTGGCCACCTTTCAGTGTGCACGATTCCATGCACTGGGGCACTAGTAATTTGTAAGCTCATTAATAAACCCAGATCAGGAGTCCTCACTATAGAGCAGAGTTTCTCAATCTCAGCACTATGGACATTTAGTTGTGGGTAATTATTTGCTGTGGGGGGCTGCCCTGTGCATTGTAGAATGTTTAGTAGCACCCCTAGCCTCTACCCACCAGATGCTAGTAGCAACCCTCCAGTGGTGACAACAAAAATGTCTCTAGACATTGTCAAATGTTCTCTGAGGGCAAAATTATTCCTAGTTAAGAACCACGTGAATACAAGATATGGGAATACAGGGCAGGAAGAAAACACCACCTTTAGGATCAGATGCCCATATGTTCATATTGTAGACTGGTGGGGAGAGGGGAGGCAAACTGCTAGTCAAAATCAGAAATGACTGCAGCCACACATTCAGTGTGCTTGGGAAATTATACAACTCATATCAAGAAAGTTGGCTTTCGGTTTAGAAAACTACCTCGATGGTCTTTCTGAACGAGAAACGTCCAATTGCCCATCTTCACCCCTTACTCTCCATGATCAGGGAAATAGAACAAAAATCACTTTGAGTTACTCTACTTAAAAGTTTTGCAAATGGGGAAAGAAGGGCTAAATAGAAGATTTGGGGTGGGAGTGATTGACTGAAAGTACAGGGATACCTATTTTTTTAAGGTTTTTGTTTATTTATTGATTAATTCATTGATTCTACTATGTATGGGTACAAAATAACCTTTCTCTGTGACTCCGCCCTCCAACAAACTGTGCCACACACAGTATCTTTCAGAGGTGTTTCGGGTACAAAAAGGAAGCGGTGTTCTAAATTCAAATCATTCTGAGGTGACAAGAAGAAAACAGCTGCAGAGAGTGAAACCTGAACGGAAGGAACATTCAGCAGGAATGGAGAACTTCCCGCAGCTATACATGTCTGAGAGTTCACAGGAACCCTGAGAGCACCCTGTGCCCTACTTGTTTGGGATGGAGGGTGAAGCCATTTAATGTAAGTAGCCATGGAGAACTTACAGACACGCGGGAGGTGGGCACCTCATGTGCACATTTCCAAGCCTGGGGTCCAGTTCCATCCTTGGCCATTATTCTCCTAAGCATGTACATGTTACAACTAAGTACTTAAATTATACTGTTTTTAAAGTCAGTGAATTCATTCTCGTACCTTTCTTGCCAGTGATAGCAGGATCTCGTCTGAGAACATTTTGAAGTCCGTGTATTTCCCTAACGGTCTCCGGTAGATGTGGTTATTGAGAATCGTGTAGTGGACAATGGCACCCCTCTCTTCCCCAAACCGTTTTGGAACTTCGTGTAGCATCTGCTGGAGATTAATGCTGGGAAAGGAAGCAAAATCTTTTGCAATCTGTGGTTCTTCGGTCGGACAAGAAAGAGTTTGCAGCCAAGCCTGGGGGTCCTCTTGTGGACACGCACAGTACTCGTGGTATACGGGTCCTGGGGAAGGCAAAACACACACTTCATTAGCCAGAGCAAGGCAAGCCGCCGTGTCTGCCCCTGCCGTGAACGTGGGATGGCTTCTTGGTGAATTCTAAGATGATCAGGATCAGGAAAAATCTGCCCTAAACACAACCGTGGTGAAAGTAGTTATGTCAGAGTCCTGTCGCTCCTATTTTCTGTCTCCTTTTTGCACCCTCCCTAGACAACCTAGTATAGCCCACCATCGCTCCCAATATACTAGTACTCTCGGCCAATTAGCTGGTAAATTCCTAGTGAGTTATAAATGGTTGATGGAGGTAATGCAACTTACCTTATGCGACGAATGACGAGTACTGGAAAATGGAGCTACAGCTAAATATACAATATTTTTATTATTATTATTATTATTATTATTATTATTATCATCATCACTTATATCTCTTTAAGTTACTCAGTTTTTCTTTCCTTTAAAACTTCAAGTTCAATTGAGCTTCCCTTAAAATTTCAAGTTAAATGGAGCTTTACTTTGTTCCATATAACTTCAAGGTCTTCATAACTCATTCTGAAAGGCATGACATCTACACCCAAGGCTGGTTCTAAATTGTGTAAGAATCACTTACCTTTCAAAATATAGGGAGACTGGGCCACATGGTCATCACCATAAAGGACCTCTATCTTCAGCCCTTCGTTGACAGATTCATACATCCTATACCTGATCAAAAATGTCCCATCATTCCTGTCCAAAGGTTTGGGGACATGGATCCGGACCAACTCTTTAGGTGAAAGAGATTTGACTACTACTTTAAATTGTGCTGGACCTGAAAGAAAAAAATATATAAATAACTCTACTACTTCACAGTCGCTTTGTTGTAACAATTAGTGGATAGCTGTCTCTACACAGGAGTTTCTTAGTTTTCTAATATCCATGGTTAAAAAAAATCATTTTATTAATAGTTTGAAAGATCCTTGAGGCCAAAAACTATTCTGGTTTATGTCTTTAAATCAGGGACCTGACTCATTAGTCATTCAAATAAAGATTTATTGAATGAACAAAATTAATTCATAAAAAAGCAAGGAAGAGATGAACTTTTTGCCTATTTGATCTTTTCTGTTTTGGGGTAGGTAAAAGCTTACTCAGGTAGTTAAAAATCTGTGAACCATGAAATAACAGAACTTGAAGGCAATCCAGCTTTTCCTTTTAAGACATATATAAGCTTTCTTTGTAAACCATTATACAATAATATCAAATAACCCCCATTTCCGAGGAAGTTTTCTTTTTGCTAACCCAAATTTCAAGCTATACGTCTAAGCCCATTTCTTTAAGTAGAGAGAGATTATAGAGAGTTACATGGCCATGCACAAATACACATGTGCGCGCACACGCGTGCACACACACACACACACCTTTGTAACTACTAGAGTTACTTCTCTAAGCTCGTTTCCTCAGGTTGAAATGAAACAGTTATGCAAGGATGATCTAATACTTCTTATCACTCCAAAATTCCATGGGTTTTCTGTTCTACTTAGAAACCCCCCTTCTCTTATAAGGGAGACATAGCAGACTTTTAGGCTTTGATATTAAGCTGCTGTGATTCATGTTACTGTGGCCCAGGTATGAATGCTGAGACCTTTTTCTTCAGAGAGGGCAGAGGGTGTATTTGCATTCAGTGCAGATCCTCAGGAGCTTTAAAAATCAAGATCTGCCCTGGCTGGTTTGCTCAGTGGTTAGGGCACTGGCCTCTGAACTGAAAGTTTGTGGGTTCGAATCCAGGTCAAGGGCATGTACCTCTGTTGTAAGTTCAATGCCCCCGAGTAAAACAAACAATCAATAGATGTGTCTTTCTCATGTCAATGTTCCTCTCTCTCCACTTCCTCTCTTTCCCTTTCACTCTCTCTAAATCGATGGAAAAAAAATCCTCAAGTGAGGATTAAAAAAAAAAAGAAGAAAGATCAATTAGTGTCCTAACCATAATTAATCATATTTAAAAAGTGGCGAATCCTCTGAAATCCACAGCCTAACAAACAATAAGTTGTGACCAAAGTATTCTTTCATCTCATATCCCTCATTATGAAATTAAGCATACTTAATACAGGGGATGGGGAAAAGTAGGTTTACAGTTGTTCCTAACAAATAATAATAAAAAAATAAATCATGTTTCACACACTCCCCACTGTAAACCAACTTTTTCCCACCCTTGTATATATTTTTTAAATTACTGAGAAAGTCTGTATCTCCTCTTTTTAGTTTCCAAATGTAGCGAGTGACTTTTCTATTTTCTCTTGGTCTTATTTTATTTTTTTTCTTGTGGGTCAGGAGAAATGTTTCTCAGTCTCTTCAGTTTAGTCACAGTAATGCTGTATCTGACATCTTGCTATTAGATAATTAAGTACCAAGCACATACATTTTTAGATATTTGAAATAAATGTGACAAAATTATGACAGACATCTATAAATAGAGGGGTTGATTGTAAAAGAAAGGCAATAATATAATGTGAAATTGTTTAAAATGTTGGCAGATTAGCTGAAATGCTTAACAAAACACATAAGCTACTGATCTGTGTTATTAGTTCCAGAAAGGCAAGCAGATTGAAAACCGGGAAGGCAGAGCCTGGGGACCAGAGAGCCATTTTCCTTATTCCCTCCCAGACCAGAAACAGTACAGAAGTTTTCTTGTCTCCTGACCAGACAGTCCTTCTCTCCATAAATTTATGATTTTAATAAAAAACAAAACAAATATAAGACAAGCATAGTAAGTAAGGACTGTGTGGTTTTTTCTGGCTACTTTTGTAGGAATCTTTCATGCCTGTGTCACTGTTGGCATGAAATAATGTTAGATTCAATACAAAATAATAATGATCAAATAGAAATAAGCAATTCCAATCTCATAAGAGAAAATGAGAAGAAGTAATTGCAAATTGCTTCAAAGGGAAGGAATGCGGATTCTCATCTGCCTGTGGCTGATATAATGGAACAGAATTGAAGCCCAGCTAGAGTTTTTCTACTCCACAAATTCAAAAGCTAATAGATTGAGAATGCAGTGACTGTGCAAACAAAAAGAGATTGGCAGTATCAAAGCCTTACTTCATTAGAATCAGAAATTCTAAAGACTTTTGATTTGGAAAGAAATAAAAAACATTAAAAAAATTTTCACTTAACCAGTCCAGGAGCTTGAGGTTTTCACAATGCATTGCCTGTCTTATTTATTTTCTATAAGAACTTGTAAGGTAGGTATTGTCACCGTCATTTTACAGACCAGGAAACCACGGCTCCCTTGAAGAAGTAACTCACCCAAGGTCACATACCCAGGAGTAACTGAGCCAACATTTGAACCAGCTTGAATCCTTCTTCTTTCAAAGCCCACCCTGAATCCCTCCTGGTCACACTGTGTAATGTCAGCATTCAGGCTCGCAGAATTCCAAGTTGGAGGAATACCCTCTGGCACTCCTGGCTGAATGGAGTTAGCACAAGCCCCCAACCCCGCTCTTTAGGAAGTTTGTTAAGGGTCTCAGCAGCTGCAACAAAAGTGTTGGGCCACGTGCCCAAGGGAACAGAGTCCCAGAAGGCCAACTGGCTTTGCCTGGAGGCTACATGAAATCCTTCAAAAGTGTCTGGCTGCTTGCAGACCATGCTTGGAAACTATATTATGGTGATTTGATGAAAGGGCAAGCGCATTAAACTAGATATTCCACACCTGGCTCTGACATTTAGTAGCTGTGGGGGCCATGGGCAAGCATGTTAGCATCATTGATCCTCGGTTTCTTGTAGGTAAAGTGAAAAGACTACCTATCCTTCCCATATCGCAAGAAAATTTAGGAGAACAAATTAAATAGAGCAAGTTTAAAAAGTAAAGTGCTACACAACTAGGGGGTAAGACTATTTTATAGTGATGTCATTACTGATGGAGGCAGGAGAGGACTGAGTAGAAAATAAATAGAGTTGACCTTGGAACAACCTGAGCTTTAATAGCGTGAGTCCACATATACGCGGATTTTTTCAATAAATACACAATCCTTCCCCGCCCATTTCCCTAGGTTTCACCTCTGTGATTCAAACAACCACAGACTGAAAACAGTATTTTTCATCCACGGTTGGGAATTCATGGAGGGCTAACTGTATGCATTGTTTTATGCCATTTTAGATAAGGAATTTGAGCACCTGTGAAATTTGATATCAGTGAGTGTCCTGGAACCAATCCCGTGACATGGAAAAACATTATAGTTAAGTTTTGGGGTTGTCAAAAGTTATATGTGGATTTTCGATTGCACTGGGGGTCAGCACCCCTAGCTCCCACCTTGTTCATGATCAAGGGCACTTGCTTGTATCCTACCATCTCGCATATTCTAACCACCCTCCCTCTACTCCTTCTTTCTCTTCTCCTATAATATTTACTGAAGATCCCTGCCAGGCATTGTGCTAGATTAGGGGTGTCGAACTCAATCAGAGAAGGGGCCAAAATCTAAAATCCAGCCTACATCGCGGGCCGAATGGTTTACTGAACAGTCATAAACTGTCATTGTGATGGAAACGCAGCGGAGTGCAGTGATGACAGCGCGGTGCGGGCCACATTGCAAGGCCTGGCGGGACGGATTTGGCCCGCGGGCCTTGTGTTTGACACATGTGTGCTAGATGCTTGGAATATAAAAAATATCAGTAGGTTCTGCCTACATTCACAATAGAAGGAAATATTCAGTTTAAGTCAGAGGTTAGTGAAATCAAGATATAGATAGGTCCTTTTCTCCGTCCCCTAATTTCTGTCAGGGGACTCCAGATTTATTTATTTATTTATTTATTGTTTTAAAAAATATATATATTTTATGATTTTTCACAGAGAGGAAGAGAGAGGGATAGAGAGTTAGAAACATAAATGAGAGCGAAACATCGATCAGCTGCCTCTTGCACACCCCCTACTGGGGATGTGCCCTCAACCAAGGTACATACCCTTGACCAGAATCGAACCTGGGACCTTTCAGTCCTCAGGCCAACGCACTATCCACTGAGCCAGACCGGTTTCGGCAAGACTTCCAGATTTAGACTATTCAAGTTCACAACACATTTGCTTTCTCTGTAATGAAGATGTGCCACATACCATGGTATTCAGACACTATTAAATGAGAGCGATAATGACAGTAATAAGGGAATCTTGGTAAGTCATGTAAGACAATCTAAAGCTTGTGGAAATAGAGCCTCTTTTCAAATCAGTTCTGGGAGTAGAAAAAATTTCAGACTTACAAATGAATGACGGGGGCAGGAGATGTGAGAAACTGGAGGGGTTTGTTTTTCAGCCTTTTGAATGGAAGATGGGAATCCAGTGGCATGAAAGGAAACAAGCAGAGTCTAAGGGAAGGAAAGTGAGGTGATCTGGAAAGACTTGTGAAAGTCTTTTTTTTTTTTTTTTCTTAAAATTTTTTCCTGATTATAAACACAATATAACCATTTTTTGGGAAAATTTTCTTGGGAATACCCTTATTCTCTTGCTATAACCACTGATGGCGCTAATGAGTGAGGTACAGGTTAATTTACTGATTACAAAATTAGAATGAAACTACATAGTTTCTTTCCTGTTCATTCCAGTCTTAACCAAATATAAGCATCTTATATAATAAAAGGCTAATATACAAATAGACTGAATGGCAGAATAACTGGAACAACCGAACCTGTCGTTATGACATATGCTGACCACCAGGGGACATATGTGAAACATGTTGGGCATTGGCCGCCGTGGGTGGGATGGTGGAGCAGGTGAGCGGGGGCACCAGACCAAGGTGGGGCACAAGTTGCTGCCATTGGGGCAAGCCTCTGATGGTTACTGAAAATTCTTTGCTCCTGCACACCATGGTCCCACCCAGCACTTGCACTGGGCCTCTAGTCTTTTAATAAGTTACTTCAAATTTTTTAAAAATTATGGGGAAAAAAAAGTAACATAAATTTCACCATCTTAATTATTTAAAAAAAAATTTTTGGTTAATCCTCACCTGAGGATATTTTCCCCATTGATTTTTAGAGAGCGTGAAAGGGAGGGAGGGAGAGGGAGAGAGAAAGAGAAAAACAGCAATGTGAGAGAGACACATTGATTGGTTGTCTCTAGTATATGCTCTGACAGGACCGGGGATCAAACCTGCAACCCAGATATGTGCCCTTAACCAGGAATCGAACCTGAGATCCTTTCTTCTATGGGCTCCCTTAAAAGCTTTGAGTATTAGTACTAACTTTTAAAAAACTGCCAATATTTTTAGAAGAAGAAATGGATTTTTTTTTTTAAATTTATAGCTCTTTCACTAATAGTAAGATCAGCAGTATTTCATTTTGGATCATGTAATTTTTCTTTTTTTCATGTAGAAATTAATCTTTTTAGTTTTCCACCTTCTTTTTTTTCCACCACCTTATAGCAATATAAAATTAATTTTAGAATATAAACTATAGGGAAGAAAAATACACCGCAGAATGAAAAACTTTGCATCTGGGTTTAAGAATATTTTCTCCTGATTCTTAGGCCCACAGAAAGTCTTTCTAAAACTAAAATAAGTAGTCATCCTTTCCCGCTGGCAGTGGAAGGAAGGGCACTGAGTAATTCTGATTGATTCTTTGCTGGTCAAACAGGGTGCCAGTTGGCTGCACATAAATGAGACATACATTAGCGAATCCTGACGGGTAACAACTTGAAACCAGCAGGACTCGTTGTAATACGTTGCAAAGGTAAGATGTGAAGGAAAACGTGGGAGGACAGCTGGGCCCAGGGATTCGGGACAAGATCCACCCTCGGGAGAGGGAACACCTCCTGAGATCTACTGAGTTCCCCTAATTCCTGCAATCTGCTTCCAAGAACTCAAAACTGCAGGAAGGCCAAAATCTAGCGGGCAAAACTGCCTTCTTCCTGCCTACTGATCTGTCATTCATTCCCTTTGTGTAGGAGGTAACTGTGTCTAAAAACCCATCAGGCCCAGGCAACATAACCCCAGCGATTCGTGGGCCTGATGACTCAATACTTGAAGGCACCCCCTCCCTCCGTGCAGAAACAGTTCCGACCAGTCAGAGGCGGAAAGGGTGTGACTTACTCTGCCTTCATTAACGCCTTGGGCGCCGGCACTCGAAACCTCAGTCCCAGCGCCTTAAAGAAGGAGGGGCCCTCAGGATTCATTCATTCATTCATTCATTCATTCATTCATGCATTCATGCGTGCATGCGTGCATTCGTGCATTCATGCATTCACTCCACTGCTACCCTCCCCGCTTCTAATGTCGTGACCAAACCGAGGAGGGCGAGCGCCAGGGGCGGGAGCCACGCGGGCGGCGGGAGGGGGCAGCGGGGCGAGGGAGGCCGCGGCCGGACGCTACCTGGGGGCGAGCGGGTGAGGTTGCGGCCCTCGGAGCTGACGGCCTGCAGGTAGAAATAGCGGACGGGCAGCACGACGCCCGCCCGCAGCCCGGGGCCCCACGCCAGGCTGCGCGGCGCGCTCACCGGCGCCTCGGGGGCCCCCGCGGCCGCCAGCAGGGCGAGCGGCAGCCACGGCAGCGCGGCCCGCGGGAGGCGGCCCATGTCCGGGCGCTGGGTCCGGGCGGCGGCGGCGAAGGCGGGGAGCGCCGCGGGCGGAGGCGGCACCGGCGGGCGGGGTGCGCCCGGGCGGGGCTGTGCCTGTGCTGGGCCGCCTGCCCCGGCTCCCCCGGCGGCCACGTGGGGGCGCGGGTGGTCTCATGGGGGTACGCACCGAGGAGGGTCGGCGATGAGCCGGCCCCCCTCCCCCCAGCCTCCTTGGCACCCGATCCCCCTCTCCCCAGCTTCCTTGGCCCCCTGATCCCCCTTTCCCCCAGCCTCCTTGGCCCGGGGTCCCCCTCCCCCAGCCTCCTTGGCCCCCTGATCCCCCTCTCCCCAGCCTCCTTGGCCCCCAGTCCCCATCCCCCAGACTCCTTGGCCCCCTGATCCCCCTCTCCCTCAGCCTCCTTGGCCCCCAGTCCCCATCCCACAACCTCCTTGGCCCCCTGATCCCCCTCTCCCCCAGCCTCCTTGGCCCGGGGTCCCCCTCCTTCAGCCTCCTTGGCCCCCTGATCCCCCTCTCCCTCAGCCTCCTTGGCCCGGGGTCCCCCTCCTTCAGCCTCCTTGGCCCCCTGATCCCCCTCTCCCCAGCCTCCTTGGCCCCCAGTCCCCATCCCACAGCCTCCTTGGCCCCCTGATCCCCCTCTCCCCCAGCCTCCTTGGCCCCCAGTCCCCCTCCCCCAGCCTCCTTGGCCCCCTGATCCTCCTCTCCCCTGCCTCCTTGGCTTCCCGCCCCCCTCTCCCCAGCCTCCTTGGCCCCGGGTCCCCCTCCCCCCAGCCTCCTTGGCCCCATGGAGAGCTGGGATCTGGCAAAGAGAGACCGAGGATGAGAGTAACACCCTTGATCGCCAAGGCCTTGGCACGCTGGGCCTCACCTCTGAAATATAATGGCAACCATGCTTTGGTAAAAACTGCTGTTTGAATTTTAAACCTGCTAAGGCAATTTTCCTGTGCCTGGGACCATACCTTTGGAGATTAACCACTGAGTTCTGCTTCTGCAAGATAGGGCCACATTCCACTGTCCAGCAGGATGTGACTGGGAACGACCCTGCGGGCTGACCCCAGTTTTCAGAATACAGTCTTTAGGATTTAGAATTTAGAACAAAGGAGAATTCCTGTGGTTTGAACTGTTGCAGAGTGGAGAGACTTGCTTTGTTCATCGCAATGGGCTTAGGGAGGATGAATTCAAATTCTAAGCAAGGTTACAGACAGAACTTTCTTTTATTAAAGAGCCAGCCCTATGTGCACTTAGTGGTTATCTCGATGCTGGCCTTGAAAAACAATACAGTTCTATCCAATTGAGAAGGTGCTCCTGGCATGGTATTGAGATTGTGGGCATATCTGGTCTCTGGGCTACAAGGTCAGACAGCTAAGTTTATCTTCATCATTCTTCAATCGGGCTAAAGCAAACTAGAAAGCAACATTTTATCTAGGAAGAACAGCAGAAAATTCCAAACAAGTTTGTTACAAAATAGGGGTTTTCCTTCTCAGAACCTTTAAAAAGAACTACCTGCCCTGAAGCAGCACAGTCGTGTGGAGTCCGCCTGCCTGTGGTTCTCTTGCGGCTGTCCTGGCCAGATATTTCAATAAATCTTTGCCTGCTTTTTTAAATAAATCATCAGCCTCCGGTGGTCTTATTTTGAACCCGGGGTTCAACCCCACAACAACCTCCTGTTGCTTGAAAATGTCAACTGTTTAGAGGAAAATGAATTTTAAAGGAGGTAACCTCTGTGGTGACTGCAGAAGATAGACGAGGAGGGAATGAAAGACCCAGCAGCGAAGAATTTAGGGAAATGCTTTCAGACAGGGAATTTCACTGGTTGTGTCTGCATGTTTCAAGTTGAAAGCTTCCCTCTGCTCTAGCTACCACTTAAAAAAATATATATATATTTGAAACATTTTGTTCCCATTTTTCCAAAATCAGACTTTGAAAAAATTTTTTTCCAGAGAAATAATCTGAGGGTTAGCTGGTACTGGATAATGAAATATGGCCTGATAAATTGTGTAACACAGGTGGTCACACCCACTTTTATGAAGAACATGTCAAAGAAGCCACATAATTGTATCCCGAACAGTCCTTTAGCAATACTGCCTCTGCACCAACCTGTTTTCTTTCTTAATCCACATCTTTAAAAGTGCATCTCTTCAGATCCACAGATGTCTCGGCCAGATTCTTTATCACACGGCAAATTGAATTTACACAACAAGCACTAATTCAGTGCCTCCTATGTCTTAGACATTACACTTCGGCTTCAAAGCCCCTGTGGTTTAGTGGACAAGAAAGAGAGAGGCAGAGTAAATAGCGTAATAGGGTGTGGGTGCCAGGGACTGCGTGGGGTCTGGGATGTTAGCCTACCTGCAAGCTAACAAGTTAGTCTGTATTGCTTCATGGATGCTGCCAGAAGACACAGACTCCTGGGTCAGAGACAGAGAACTTCCTCAGTCTCTGCAAAAGCAGCAGCGAGAGCTTCACGGTGGTGTGTGCTGGGTCCCCATGCCCCCTGTTACGGGCTGAACTGTATCCCTCCGAAATCCATATGCTGAAGCGCTAGCTCCCGAGCCTCGGAATTTAACTGTATTTGAAGACAGGGACGATTAATTAATTAATTAATTAATTTTTATTTTTTTAAATATATATTTTATTGATTTTATACAGACAGGAAGGGAGAGAGATAGCAAGTTAGAAACATCGATGAGAGTCATCGATCAGCTGCCTCTTGCACACCCCCTACTGGGGATGTGCCCGCAACCAAGGTACATGCCCTTCACCGGAATCGAACCCGGGACCCTTCAGTCCCCAAGCCGACGCTCAATCCACTGAGCCAAACTGGCTTCGGCAGGGACGATCAATTTAAAGCAGGCATTGGGGCAGGCCCTAATCTCACCTGACTGGTGTCCTTACAAGAAGAGGAAATTTGGGCGCACAGACATCAGGAGAGTTCGGGCAGAGACGAAAGACCACGTGAGGATGCAGTGAGAAGGCAGCCATCTGCAACCCAAGGAGAGGCCCCAGGAGAAACCAAACCTGTGGATGACTTGATCTTGGATTTCAGCCTCCAGAACTCTGAGAAAATAAATCCTGTCCTGTAAGCCACCCAGTCTGTAGTCTGTGGTATTTTGTTATGGCAGCTCTAGAAAACCTATATATACACAACCCCCCCCCCCAATCCCCCGCCACCCCACAACCCACCAGATCCAGTGGGGACAATGCAAAAGGCTTAACAAGGATGCCTGCATTGCAAGAGAAGCACATGGAATTTAGGGCATTACTGCTTTTATTTTTTAATTTTTTAAAATATATTTTATTGATATTTTACAGAGAGGAGGAAGGGAAAGAGATAGAGAGCTAGAAACGTCAATGAGAGAGAAACATCGACCAGCTGCCTCTTGCACACCCCCTACCGGGGATGTGCCCGCAACCAATGTACATGCCCTTGACCGGAATAGAACCTGGGACCTTTCAATCCGCAGACCGACGCTCTACCACTGAGCCAAACCGGTTTCGGCGCATTACTGCTTTTAGAGTAAGGTGAATTAAGCCTGCTCTACATAGGTAAGGAGATGTTATCCTCCTTCAAGGTGGCTTGCTGTAAACACATGACAAATGGCAGGGTTGAAGAGTGGTCAAGGTCATTCTTTTTAAAAAATAGATTTTTTTTATTGATTTCAGAGAGGAAGGGAGAGATAGAAACATCAGTGACAAGAGAGAATCATTGATCAGTTGTCTCCTGCACACCCTACACTGGGGATCAAGTTTGTAACCCATGTATATGCCCTGACCAGGAATTGAACCGTGACCTCCTGGTTTATAGGTTGACGCTCAATCACTGAGCCACACCAGCTGGGCAGGACTTTTCATTCTTGGCATACATATAGAAAACATTCAGAGATGTTCAGGGCCCCTGGCAAACTGCCTCTCCCAATATTAGTGCTTCATATGAAGGGCAGTTAACCTCATCTTGGTGGAATTCAGAGAGGCTTTCTGAAAGAGATCACACCCAGGCTTAAACATGAAAATCATGTTGTGGGAAGAGGGGGAGAAGGTCTTTCCTGGCGATAGAAAAGTCACGCTCTACCCAGTTTTCTCCAGTGGTTAGAGCATTGGGACTGAAGGATCTCAGGTTCGATACCAGTCAAGGGCGTGCGCCTCAGTTGCAGGGTCCATCCCCAGCACTAGTGGGCAGAAGGCAACCAATCAATGTGTTTTTCTCACACCAATGTTTTTGCTTTTTGTTTTCTCTCTCTCCTCCTCCTCCTCCCTTCCACTCTTTCTAAAAATCAACGGGGGAAAATAATCTTGAAGTAAATTATACACTTCAGGAAGTTTCTATTCCCTTTGCCATTCATCTCTATGTTGAACTCCAATCTCAGACACAGAATTATGGTCTGTATTGCACTGGTGCCTGGAATCATCATATTAAAGCTATGTAAATGTCACAGCTATTGATTGTCCAAATATATCATAGCATTTTTACCCATTTCTAGTAACTGCTTCTCTCCCCCCCCTCTGTCTCTCTCTTTCTCTTTCTCTCTCTCTCTCTCGTTCTTTTTACCCACAATCCACAGGGTAACAACGAGGCTTTATAAAACATCACCTTAAACCAAGGATGGCCACAGTTGATTGGCCCATAGTTTGGAACCTGCTTCATGCTGGACTAATCAGAATCTTTTCTTCCGGAGTTTAAAATCAGAGTTAAGGGATTTCAATGTGTAACTGACATCTCTTAAATAAAGGCAATGTAAAAGTTCCTTTTTTTTTTTTTTTTTTTTTTGCCTTGTAGATGAAATGGAGGAGAAAACTTAAGAGAGTTTTCTATATAGTGCACCATACAGGCTTGGTACAGTTCATAAGTAGCTTTTCCACCCTTGGTTTTAGGGATAGCTCTGTTTCTTACGATAAATTCCTCTCTTGACATTAGAGAACTATCTCATTTTCAATATCATTAATTAATTTAAAAAAACTTACATGGGCTTAGGCAAGCTTAGATCCCATAAAATGCATAAATATTTAATTACTTCAATAATATTTATTCAGCATGAAATTTATCATGTAT